AGTCTGTTAAAAGCGCGGTAGTGGAGGTGGGCGGCACACATGTGGATGGATACTTGAATGCGCATGAGCTTGTTTAATTTGGACCAAGAAGAAGATGGACAATTAAACTACAGCTCCCAGTGGGGCTGTTCATTTTGGTCAGCTTCCCCACGTCATGGCTGCCTGCCCTTGTAAACGCTCCTGGATGTGTCTGGGTTCATGCCTTGGGAGGGGGGAGTTGGGTTTGTGGGCGGGAAGGTCTGTCTCTGGAGGGTTGTCTCAGACGATTAGGACAGCCAAGTGAAGAGAGTCCCTGAGAGCCTGGCCCCCTTCACCTCCCTAATATACTCTGAATAAGTTTGTCTATACCGTGCGTTTGTTGTGGTGATGGAGGCGGGTGGGGGTCGTGTCTGGCCATGGTTTAGTAGTGTTTGTCATCTGCCCCCTTGAGGCCTCTATCGGCTTCTTTGTCTGAGTGTCAGACGTGCAATGTCAAACGCACAATGTGCCTGTGCGTATTGGGTTAGGACGTGACACTGGAATTCATCTTCTTTTTTTCAGTGTTGACAAAAGTCAACTTACTATTTCTCCCATTAGTTGTTTTTTTTTTCTTAATATACAATTTTATGCTTACTTTATGGACAAAAATCCACAATTCACCCAAATACTGATATAAAACCACTTCATAACAGCTGCCGCGTCAGATTTTTTCCCCCCTCCGTTCTTTACTTACATAACGCATTTTTAATGTATTTCTGTAAATGACTTGCAAGACATAGATATAAAGGGACTACGAGGATATTCTCAGAATATTATCAGGTAGAAGCATATTGTTATGAGTAAACAGTTGGCTTTGTTATGAGTCACTGAAGATAAAAAGGGAAAAAAATTGCTATGTTAAAGTGGTGCACGGTTCGGAAAAAACTCTTTACGGCTTTTTTTTTGCCCCTACTAATTTGAACAATAAGGTGTTATGCTTTTTTTCCCTTTTCCCCACCACTCTTAATCTTGATTTTATGTGTGGTTTCTTGAAAAGCCAACTGAGAGATGAAGGAGAGCTGATGCAAGCCTAGTTGACGCTGTTGTTTCGGTAACTTTTAGAATTTGCGGTATTCGAAAAAGATAAATTGAAAAGTCTCGATTCATAAAAAAGCAATCTGTGTTATGTCTAAAAGCATTAGCAGAATTTCCTTTGAATCGAGGCTTAACACTCGCTTCATAGCTGTTCATACAAACAGTCCTATTGTTTGGTGGCTACACACATAATCTGGAGACCAGTTTAGTGGTCTCAAAGGTGTCTCTATGGTTTCACACAGTGCATCTCTGTATGAAATTTGGAAGAAAGATTCATTCATCTCAGCACAATGACTAACATAGAGGGCACTGAGTCCCAGCCAAATATCACAAGTTACATTGAAAACAAACAAAATGGCCTTGCTGTATACTGAGGAGACAAAACGTCCCAATGACTGATAACAGCTCTGCAGGATTTGGGCGCTGTGGGAGAAATGGCCTCTGTGGCTTTGCATTCAAGTCATTTGGCCATTTGGAGCACCAGGAAATGACACGCATTCCTCATTCCCAGTACCAAAATAAACTCAAATCTAGCTTCCTGCTATTTGTACACAATTACTTTTTCAAATTTCATTGATAATGACTTTGTTAGAAAATGTGAAATTGATGCAAAACACTGGTCTTGTGATTAAGAGTTATTATTTCCAGACAGCTTTCTACCATAACATAATGTTCTGCAATATATATAGTTGTATGGTTCAGTAGTAAACTGATATGAATGGTTGTACAAATCTACTGTATCTTAATAGAGTGACAGAAGATGCTCAACATTGAACAAAAGCAATCATGCTGACTGTGGGAAACGTTTTGGTTTTCTAACGTAAAGCCTGCAACTCGGTCTGACTCAACACGGGACCCTGCAATGACTAATCACATGACAACTTAACGTTGCTTCAAATGTGCACGTTGTAAGAGTGTACCTTCCTGCTCTGCAGATGAGTAAATGCATCAGGAGTTTTGATGACACCCAGCAAGCTGTTCTTGATCACTTTAGCCAATGCAAGCTTTACACAAGTGGCAGTTTTAGGCATCTCTTCCGTTTGTGTGCATTTGACAGAAAAAAAAAGCTTAAAAATCTGCCTAACCTGATTTTGGAAGCTTGAACATTTTACACTTTATTTGACTGCGCCTTAAGGTGTATTAAACCCATTTTGCATAAAGATTTTTTTATATCTATAACAGGGTGTAAATAAACACAACAGTGGCAATTAAGGTGTGTGTTTCTGAGCAGTTATGTGTTTGTGTGTAACTGTTATCTAGGGCTCAAACTGACCAATAGGGAGATTTTCTTTGGCACTCCTCCTGTATCCCCCTGAAGATGAGGGAGAAGAGTTGTGATACCAAAAAGCTGCTATTTATTCTGTGTAATCTGACATACATGTTAGACCTCCAAAATCAGATATCCCTCCAGGCTCTTGAAGTGATGAGAAAATAATGCAATTTATTAGAATAATGCTTACACAAAAACAAATGTAATAACTCCTTTGTTTATTTCCTTCCCTCTAACTTTTTTTTCCCATTGGAGGTAGAAGAAGGCAAATCCAGTGTTGATGATCTCTATGTGGGCAGGAAGCCTTGAAGGTTTGCATCATGTCTGCCACGTTCTACCCGAGGGCATTCCAGCTTTCTTACACGTTGAAATTTGCACACACACAAACGCACGACGCTTGCGCACGCAAGCTACCGTTTTCCCTCACAGCGCAGCAGGAGTCTGTCTTCATCTGTCCTATTGATTAATGAAGCAGGCGCAGCGGGTGTCGGAGAGAGGCAGGAGCCTAGATCAAGGCTGTGAGCTGCATCACTGGCATAGTCACGCCACACAAGTGCACGCGCACAGGCGCTCGTATGCACACATTAGCGCGCACTTTCGCTGTCTCTGTCATGTTCTCTCTGTGTCTGTCACAGCAGACACCGTAGACACAGGCGGCCGTGACACACATGCATACTGAGAGACATGACACACTTGTCATTATAGCTCACAGATACGCCACACACAAATTCGCTCACACACACTCGCTCAATGAATTAACGTGGCTTGGCTGTGCCGGTCGCCTAAGCTGGAAAGGCGTTTTCTATAAACATAATGTTTGTAGATTAGTTGGGGTTAATGATCCACAGCCTGTGTGTGTGTGTGCGCACATGTGGGTTTTTGGCTAAGTGTAAAAGGTACTGCTCTACTGTGCTGTCTCCCTCACTTCCAAATGAGACATCCCCCAGGCACCATTACAAGAGCAGTATTTATGCTATTAGGAAACTGGGTTTGCAGCTCCAGCAGTGGTACCAGAATGAAACGGCTAAAATTATGTCTCAACTAACCTCACTGGGCAGGGCCACTATTTTCTTTGCATAAATGAGAAATTGCGCATTGTGTACTTAGAGGCTATTTTTAAAAATGCCCTGTTGGAATATCATGCGCATTATTTCTTAGCCGCATAAATGCAAAAGCCAAGGAACAGAGCCGTTTTTCTTCTTACCCGCAAGCATTGGTTCATTCAGAGTAGAAATAAAGATCACAACTTCTCTTTTCTATTTTTACTTTGTGTTTTAAAATTAGCCTCACTGTTCAAACCAGAAATAGACCTTTTGTAAAGGCTTTCTGTAAATTGGGATTGGTGGATTCACTGAGGGTGTGGTCCCTTCCAGCCAACCTTCCTTTTTTCTCACAAATGGTCTCTTCTGCAATGCCAAATGGACAGATAAATAAGAGCAAATGACTGTCAGGCCCCTACAAATTTTTTTATTTACGTCCCCCCCCCCCCTCCCAAACCTGCGCTTATCCGCCTTCGCTCCCTCCCCTTTCTCTTCCCTGGCGTTCCTGTTGAGGCATGCCTCCATCCCGGCCAACCAGCATCATTCAGGTCAGGGTGAGGGGGCAAAAAGAGACGAGGGGAGGAGGACAAACAAAGGAGCACTGTTACTGCCATACTAGAGAGCCGACACCAGACTGGAGGGGTGTGGTTGGAGGGGTACAGACGGAGAGAGAGAGTGTGACTGAGGAGGTTTATCATTAAGAAAAGAGATTAAAATGAATGGGAGGGGAGCAGGGGTGTCTGCTCTGTTCACAGTAATAAAGAGGACAAGCAGTGCCAGTCTTTTTTTTTCTACACACACATTTGGCACAATCTTAGCTGTGTGTGTTTGTGTGTGAGTGAGTGAGAGAGAGTGTGATAGGGGAGGGATGGGGGTGCATTGTTTTCTGGCTATTGTACAATATTTGCTTAACCCTCATGTTTTATCTGTGCAGCTGCATGCTACAAATGAGATGCAGAAAAGAGTGTGTGCATGTGCACAATAGTGGCTGTCACAGCTGTTAGCAATTTCATCACACACATGCACGCAAACAGATTTTTTTTTTTTACAATGCTTGTATAAGTAGTACAGCTTAAAAAAATCTAAATGTAACAATTGCAGGTCAAACAAGTCAAGCCGAGGAGAGGAAAGATGAAATAGACAAAGTTAGACAAACTGTTAGTGGCTAAAACGATCGTCATTGTCATCATCATTGCATGGCTCTTCTCTTCCACTGGTTGCCAGTCAGTGTTTCCTGACCCCAACTTGAACCTCATTTCCATTTGCACTGATCTTTCTGCTGAGTTCAGTATATCTCTTTTCTTCTGGGTTTTTCTTTTGTTCGGTTACTCAACACTTTGGAATTCCACATCACAAAACATATCTCGACTTCAAACACTTGCAGTTTTTAGGTCGTGAACTGAACCGATTTCTAATCACTTATCTTGTTCTTTAAATTCGCTGTATGCCATGAGTAAGAAAATGGTTACAGATAACTCAATTACACACGAAAGCTGGTACTCCATAAGGCCTGTCTGCTTTGTGGAGAGTTTTATTTATTTATGGGTTTTGGGATTTTTTTTGAGTAGGCTCCATTCCAGTGAAACAGTTTCTTAACTGTTCGTATGCACTTTGTTTTTCTTCTTTTGCTCCGTCAGGTCGGGAAAAGAGCTGGAACGAGAAGAGGGGTGCTCACAGCGTTAGCCATCGATGCAGAGTGAAGGAGCGGGTAGAGGAGCAAAAAAGACAAGTGTAAGAGGTAAGGGAGCTCAGTTTACTCTGGAGGGGGGTTATATATTGTCTTGTCTTTGTATCTGTTACCTTTTCATTCAGTTGCCTGAGTCAGCTGTGCACCTGGGGTGAGTTTGATGTTTGCATGTTTTTGTGAGTTGTTTGAATGTGTCTGTTGTATGTATGTATGTGCGTGCATGTGTCCCTGGTGTCAGACCCCAGCCACCATTTGAAGAACACATCATCCTGTCTGAGTCATCAACTGCCTCCCGATCTTCATTCCCGTCTTTATCTTTTTTTCCTCTAATGATCGTTGCTCTCTGCTGATGAGAAACCCACCAGCACATCTGTGTATACTGATATTTATTTTAGGAATGAATCTCTCAGAAAAGTAGAAACTTCCTGAAAATGTTGTTTGTACCTATTAATAGTAAAAAAAAAAGTATTTTCTTAAAATTCTACAACTATTTAAAAATCAATGTCTATTTGTATGAAGGAACCATTTCGATCCGCACTGAAGAAAGGTTTCGTGGAATTACAAAGCCTCTTGCGCCGCATTTCCATTTCACGCCGTGCAGATTTGACTCTTTCTCTTCAGCGGCCATTAGACTAAACAGTCCTCTTTTCAGGGATGCCACCTTCGCCGTCTTAACTGCGTTTCAGCTGTTCCCGAAGTGAGCAGCCTCTCGGAGAGTAATCTTCTCACCCTCTCTGTGTGAGGCTGAAGGCAGCACTAAATCATTTTCCACCATGCAGTCATGGACAGAATGGCTGCCACCATGCACAGATAGGGGGATGGTTAGAGAGGAGAGGCGCCGAGAGGAAAAAGAAAATGTTGTTTTTCTCAGTTCTTGCCATCCTCTCTTCTGATGAGACTCTCTCTTCTCTTCTACATCAGTCTTCCACCCAGACTTTACAATAGCAATGTGTGAATTGTCTTCCAGTATTTATGTATCTAGTCCATTTTTTTCTTATTATTTTTAGAAAGGGAAGATCCATATTACTTGAGATGTATATGAGGATTTTTACCCGCCACTATTGGTACTATTACATTTACTGTCCTTGATTTCATTTATCTTTTCGGTAATTGGTTGAATTGGAGGGAACTGAACCTGGAAATCTTCTGGAATTGGGGGTTAATGTGTGTGCCCTTCCAATAAAAAACTGTTTCTCCACTCATCATATTGCCTTGTCCAGCAAAGGGATCACCATTTTAACATTACCTATCAAAAAGGTTCCTTACAAAAGGCAAAAAATTCAATTCAGAATGCTTCACTTCATTTCACGTCAGCCTGATCCACCTTCTCTCTGATCTCTCTCTCTTAGTTGCTCTTACCTATTTCTCCTAACTCCTTTTGGTTCTTTCCTTGTTGAATTGTGTCACTTGTGTAGCTCTTCCATTCGAGCTCGCACTGCTGCTCTGACCTGATCTATTTTCTACAACCACCACCATTTTAAAGGACAGGATATGCTGATGAGGATAATTTTGAAAGCTATTAGTTCGAATAGTTAAGGGGGGTAGAGCGTTGGTTTAAATAAATGGGAAGCTTTCCTCCAAGCGGTCGTCGGAATTCCAACAGTAATCAGTTGTAATTATTGCGCTTCCTTACTTTTTACATGTCTGTCCAAATCACTCCAGCTGGACCAGAACAAAGTGCTTTAAAATGGAAGTGGTTTTGAAGCTGTTTCAAGAAGGAACATTATTCTTCTGATGGATGTGCTACGCATTAACCATCTGGGATTTTGAGGGAAACGCCATTGTTTTAGGTTACTGGTCAAATGATGCAAGGAAGAAAGAGAGGAAAAAGGTGAAGGATGTTTTAAGCAAATATCCAGACATGCCACTACCCCCCCCCCCCCCCCCCCCTTTCTTTTTTTCTTTCCTACCAAGTGTGTCTGCCCTCTGCTTCTGTGGAATAGGACCTTTCAGGAGCAGCCGAGTCTATCTAAGCTGGCTTTAAAAGCCGCAGGACAAGCACCAGCATGGTTCTCTGTCAGTGTCCATTTGTGTATAAGGAGGTGGGCTGCCACAGTGTGTCACAAGGTTTCATATTTCAAATATATGAACGAGAGAATGACGGCCAAATGAGTCACTCCGTCATGTCATATTGATTCAACGCAGGACTCTGGGACAGAGCGAGTAATTGTCAGTTTCACACTCACGCAAAATAATCAACACATGATGGACAATAGTTTGCAGCGGTGCGGGGAGGTGAGGGGCTTGGACACACTGCGTCGGAGGCGACCATGAAAGCCTAACAGACAAGTGTCGAAAATGGGACCATTTTTATCCACACAAAGAACTCCTCAAAACAACTTGCTCTTTTTTTAAAACCATAGACACCCCGTCACCAATAAAACGTAATATGAGGAGAATTCTGAGGATTCGAATGAGAGCCTTTATTGAGTTTTAATGGAGAATGCTGTTTCAAAATGGATGGATGGATGAAAGATTGATTGGGGGGTGATGATCAGGCAGAAATGGATAAAAATTAAAACAAAAGAGGGTGAGAAGATGGAACAAGAAACAAGACAGGAAGAGGTTGCTGGAGAAATGTCAAAGCAAGCATGGAGAGTCCAAAAGTAGACAAGAAGTAAAGAACTGGGGGGGGGGGGGGGGGGGGTGTCCGGGGGCAATGCGGCAGTGCCTCTAATGTCTTTATAAGGTCATAAAATCCTCCACTTCCTGGCCTCTCTAATTGTGAAGAATGGGATGGAGGTGGAGGGGAAGTCTCAACTCTACCTGCCTACTAAATGAGTCCCCTAAATCTGCTCTTGGCCTTGGGAGCTTTCTATAGGATCGCTATGCCAGCAACATGGATGCAGAGGGGGATGATTTCTGAGAAAGTCTATGTTCTGATAGTCTTTATTGCTCTTCTCTTTAAGATTAAGATAGAGAAAGACAATGTAGAGAAATGCAAAGGAAGAAAGAGTGAGTAAAGTACTGCAGCCTGTTTTAATGATCTTTGGAGATGCGTTGGAAGGAGGGTTCGAAGAAAAATCCAAACAACTGAGAGTAAGAATGTAATGTACTTACATACAGTTTTTCAGAGAGAGAGAAAAAGAAAAAACCTTGTGAAGTAAGAGTGAGAAAGAACATAGAGGTGGAGAGGCAGAAGATTTTATTAACTCTGCAGGGATAGACTGTAATGGCTATACTCCCCAAAGTAGCTGTAATCCTGAACTCTTAAAAATGTGAGAAGTTGCTCTTACCATCGCTGGAAACGAAAACATTTTCATTTCATAAACTGTTTGTCTAAGGGACCCTGCCCCAACCTCTAACCCACAAATGAGCACAGTAATGAACAGAACCTTCACTGCAGAAGAAAAGTTAGTTATTTTACAGTCTAGTGAAAGGTACAAACTAAACTTATCCCCAGATAAGCTCAGTTGTTCTTGAAATTGGGAGCCATTAATATCACTGTTTGTTTTGAAGTGAGATGGCATACATTTGAAAATAGCACCAGCTTTGGAGCTTTGGAGCATGAATAAGGAAAAGATATATATATATATATATATATTATATCTTTTTGGTAAAAGATATACAGCTTTTACCAAAATAAAAGCTGTAGAACAATGTACATTTAGATATGTAATATTTAGGGAAGCCAGATGTTGACATATGTGATGTAAATTAGGGTTGAAAGACAAAAGCTGTATTCACAGATTGAAATAAAAACAGAATCTTACACAGTCACAAGCTATGTATGTTTTTTTAGTGTAATTTGTATATCACTAACAGCCTGCTATCATGTGTCACTGCTGTGTTACCCACTGCCATTGAAAAGAATTTAAACTCTGCTATATAACAATCCTTCACCATCACCACACATTTGAATCTTGTGGCTTTCCCTTTTCCGTTAATGCAGCCTATATACTTGATATTTGAAATGAATGGTAATTTCAGGCATTGTGAATTTGTTTTTCAAAATGTAAAATTCCAGTCTTAATCTCTGTCTTTTGTGAGTGACTTAGGAGTTTCTAAGCCGTGCGCCAAACTTTTTGCTTATTATCACGTGGGTATGGATCGGGGAGGGGGGTTGTATTGTGACTAAACTTGCTACACTACAGGAGCTGTATAACAGTTGCCTTTTTTGTTACTGGGGTTTTATCAGTGGGTGAGAGAATAAAATGGAGTCAAAGGCAACCCCCTAAGCTTTTCATAATGCGTTCCGAGAGGAGACAAAGGCCCGTATTCACTGCTGGGTGTCGATAAGACCTATCATTAGGCTGCCATTGGAGGTATTACTGGCACACACAAACACACTTGCACACATATACGGAGTGCAGCAGGGCGCTTACTTCTGCACCCTTTCTCTCTTCTTTTTCCCCCCCCTTTTTTTTCCCCTAAAAACACACACATAAATATTCCTATGCGTGCCAGAAGTTAAAGAGGCAGCCGGGCTCACGGTGAACCGAATAAAGGCAGACGAGTGGACCCCTGCTGCTTCCCCATCGCAGCTGAATTCACTCACATGGAGGGGACATCCACTCGGCTAGACGTTGCGCAGCTGTAATTTTGTACGTCTAGTAGCAAATGCAAAAAAATTTTTTTTTAAATGTATATATTTTGTAATAAATCTATCTAAGCTTTATATGCTCTAAAAAGAAATATATGCCATTACATTTATAAAAATTGGAGAAAACCAAATTAAATAACAATAATGTGTTATTTTTATTTATAAAGCTTGTTTAAAAAATGACTTACAAAGGGCCAAACCACCTTTAGTCCTCTGATGCAATATTTAATTTTCAAAAAGCACGATCAAAATAACTTGCAGCTTTTTTCACTGATTATTAATGCTCTTCTGCTCTATGTGCAGCCCCCCCCCCCCCCCCCCCCTCCAAAAAAAAAACAAAAAACCAAAACAAACAAAAAAATAAAAAAAACAACCCACTTGTGTTTGCGCTAAAGCAGCAACACATTGGTCGTGTTTCGAGGTGTATTTTTGTGACAAACTCCTACCAAATGCTTAAATGCTTAAAAGCAGTTGAACAACCAGTGGAAACTGCCTGATGATCAAACTC